CCGACCGCGATGATCAAAACCAATAATACATGAGTCACGACAAATACACCAGGAAAGAACCACAGGCAAGATCACCAAGAAACACCTTTATACTACTGTGACATGTTGAAGAGGACTGCCATCTATTAACTTAGGGAGAAAATGTCCAAGAAAAAGGAGATGCCATCTACTGTTTATTCCTTGGGGAGCAGACGGCCAAGAAAGAAAGAGAATGCCTCCACGACCGACATTTAGAAAATACATGAACGAGCAAACAATGCGCACACGCACTGCCCCTTCGGGACTTCAAGGGCCAGTCCATCTAGCCTTCTTCATCTACCAACGCAGCCAAGCGACTACGGCCCTCGCCCACAGAACCGCCAGAACAGATCTCGGGCGTGGTTGAGGCCTCGGGGGCGGCGGTGGGGGCACGAACAGGTTGCCGACGAAGCACAACCCCTCCACGATGTCGATAAGGCTGTCGCAGCGCTCCGCGCCTATGACCCGGCAGTACTCCAGCCCGTAGATGGCGAGGTAGACGACGTGCACGACGACGACCTGCGCGACCGGCGCGAACATCATGGAGGTTTGCTCGGCGGTACACCAGACCGCGTAGTACACGCCGGAAACGACGAGCAAGACTGCTATGTGCATCAGTCCTCCCCAGTAGAGCTGCCGCCGTTGAGGCACAGCCACCACGGGCAGATGATATGGCGCCGCCGCATGCGCGCCGAGGGCGTACCAAAAACGGTCCCAGGCGTTCTTCAAGACTTGAGGGATCATGACGTTGACCGGCGGCCTGAAAGCAAACGAATGTGGATTTGGAGGTAGGTGGTCGAAGTACGACGTGGGACATGACGTTGGGTACTGAATGTATGTATATAATACAATGGAANGAAAGCAAACGAATGTGGATTTGGAGGTAGGTGGTCGAAGTACGACGTGGGACGTGACGTTGGGTACTGAATGTATATAATACAATGGAGAGGGGGGGGGAGACGTATTGCATACCACAGGAACATTATCTCCGGAGCTAGTCATAGATCATCACGGAGTGAGTGCCGATGATGACGCAAAGAGTGCAAGTGAGCGTGTTACGCGCCACCATCAGGAACCTGACAATTGCAGTGCAGTAGTAACAGCTCCAGGCCAATAAAAACAACTACATACAAGACTGAACATGACCGTAAGAAACATGCCCTCAATTCGGAGGTCTGCGTCGGCTATGTATTTGAACGGGCTCCCAACAACACGCGGTGGTTGGAACATATCAGAACGTTGGAGGTGGAGTACAGGGGTGGTTCACCGGGGGGGGGGGGGGCCGCGCCTCTAGCATACTGGAGCCTGGGGACGGGGGGGGCAGGAACGAGGAGTTGACAAAGCATGTAACTGGCGTGTTCTGATCACCAAGTCGGGTGGGAGCAGCCATGGGTATTTTTGTCGAACATCACCCGGACCGCCAGTTTCGCATTTCTTTTCGAAAATAATGTGGCATGGCGATGTACGTGCGTTCATGGGTGAGTCCACGGCAAGAATTACATCGAAAGGGTTGGGTAACCCGTACACCTTGTTCATGGACGTTGAAAGATGCCAGCGATACCGAGGGAGCTCCAGAGACTTGCAACGATGGGTGCGGGAGGGAGGATGACCGGAGCCGCATCGTGGGCGAGGAGACAGACTTGGGCGGTGGGGGCGACGGGCACAATGGCGGGGGGGGGCATCGAGGACGGCATTCCAGCGATGAAGATGATGACGGTAAGGTTGACTCTCCCTTGCGTAGTCCCTTGCGGTCTGCTCTATTTGTTGTTGTTACATTCATAAACTTGAACGTAGTGACGAAACGAACATCTGCTTTGTAACGGCAGTGCGTGACCGCTCTTGTTGTTGTCGAGTTTCGCTGTGCCGCTACGCTACATACACGCCCGTTCCACGGCCAGGACGACGAGTTGGGTCTTCACGACGAATGGATGATGCGGACGGCGAGATACATACACGGCATGAGGATCCCGGACGACGTCACTCGCGTTCGAGGGCCTTCCACCGCTCGCTGCTCTTGACAGTTCTTTTGCCGCACCATGGGGGGTCTCGTAAGGTTCAGGATAAACCTACCTTTGTTGCGAGTGCATCAACGAATCAACACTTTTTTTCTGGCGTGTCATACATATGCTATGGCAGCTTGTTGTGTGTATGGACACGCCAAATATGATAATGTGCCGAACCGTCAAGATTTAGGCCGAGAGCTTCAACGAACGGGCAACAGTTACACGTCATCTTCTGAATGGATGAGGAGGAACTGCTGTGTGATGTGTTTGTCGTTCACAGAGAAACCAGGAGAGGTAAACGAGCAAGCGGAAAGTGACCCCAGGGGGTTGGAAAAATATGGGAGTAAATACTTCATGAAGAAGTCTGATCAATCAAGAGCAGCCAGGGAGGATCCAGATGCCGCTAATGGAAGGCAGCAAAATGGACAGTAAACAACTCGTGGCGAGAGCAGCTGGAGGAGATATCCAACACAGAGGCCTACAAGCTGGGCTTTATTTTGAAAATCTCCGCTTTACAGGCGAAGAGCTGGGAGGATGTTATTGGAGCTTGTGTGTTGGACACGCCAAATGAATACGATAAATGTGCCGAACCGTCAGGATGTAGTCTATCTAGACTAGGCCGAAAGCTTCAACGAACGGGCAACAGTTACGTTTCCTTGAAGAGGCGTTCTCGGAGTCGAGGCCTGTCTACCGAGCACCTGGTTTTCAGTCAATAACCATCCTCGTGAAGGAATGTAAAGACCCCGGAGAACACTGTCCACTGTGAACGTACCACGTGCGTGCATGCTCGTCCACTTGTCGTTCACACCACGTACCATCGTGATATATTCGAACGTGTTGCGACCGTTTGTACGAGTAAATCGGAGCTCCAATCAAGCCAAGACCCGGTCTCGACACATCCGCTCGAGAGACAGAGAGAGATAGAGAAGACAAAAAGAATACGCTCAGGTCTCCGTGAGTCGTCACTTTCACGAACTGAGAGCGAAGACGAAGGGTTGGAGTTTTAGGCAAATGAACGCCATTTACTATAATTGCAAATAATACATATGGTAGCCTATGATGCATATATATGTGTTGACAAGTGTTACGTTTTTTCTTGTCGTCCCATCTACTCCGGGCGCCGATCCAACCCTTTGGGAAAAATATTTGACGAATCAATCAAACTACGGGAGGACCCCCCCCCCCCGAGGAAATAAGAACGCGCTGTCCTGTACCGGGCAAAATTGTTGTTGTGTGTTGTACTTCGGGGAGACCCCGCGAGTATGTTCCGAGCGAAACGACTGGCCGATAATTTGAGATTATTGGGAAACGAACGGTGTGCTCGGGTTGGGGTTGCCAACACAGCGTAAGGCGGGAGAATGGCGGAAAACAGTACAGAAGTAAAAAGACTGCTACAATAATACCTCTAGTCTACAGTAACTGCTGCTGCTGCTGCTGCTGTTGCAGCATTGTACATGTATCACAGATGAATCGGGATGTTATGCGATATGCGTATGATGTGGCTACAAACAGGAGCAGCGTAACACGGCGGTTGGTTGTCGCGGATATAAACACCGCCAAACGGCAGTCACATAAATGCCTCTCCCGTTGGCTTGATTGGTTGGGTGGATCATGGGTGAACCAGTTGTTTTGTCGCAGTAGAATTTACACTAGATGTACTATACATTCTACATAGACTAGACTACTAGTCTAGAGTCTAGATACATATTTTACACACACCAGACTACAGTCTACAATGCATTGATTGGTTTGTTGTTTTTCTGATGGCTTCTCGGTTTTTCGCACCCACCCGAGAAATGAATTGCCACCAACGGTCAATGAGATGAACTTACAGTAGTCTACTCCATCCATCCACATGATAACACCCGCGGAGCGAGTGACCAGAGGTTCGAGTGACAAGACAGACAATCCTTTTTACGCAACAAAATGACGGACGGCTTGTTTGCTGTGCAGGTCACCTGGTTGTTGGCGCCGCCGATCGATGCTATACTGACGATCTACAAGCAAGCACCCTCTGCTGCAGCCAACACCCGCATCGAGCACCCATGGTATAAGAGCCGCAAGTAGACTTGTACTACTAGACTATATCATGCGTGCCCGGCATCATCACACGCCCCGTTGCCAAGACTTGCAATTTTTGTAACCGATTCACGCAGTGGAAGGCTGCTGTAACGGTACCCCCGAAGATTTGCTTGATGTGTGTTTGGGTGGACAGATCGAAACATCTACCGCCAGCCAACACCCGCGACAAGCTCCCCACGTGAGGCGCAGAGAGCTGTCGGCTGTCAGACGTACATTTTAGCAGTAGTCTACAGCAGTAGCCCGACATCGCCAGCAGGATGCGCGCCGCCGATTTTCATCTTCTTGCTCGATCAAGTTGGTGGTTGGTTTGCTACGGTTTTCCGGCTCGGCAAGAAACGACGACGTTCTTTCTCTTCTTTCTACTTGTCAGCGAGCGCCATGGCAGAATGAACGAACGGCATGGACATCCTGCCTCGGATCCTCTTACTTCACAACACCAACCAGACACTGCTGCTGCTGTGCGATGCCCGTCTTGGTAGCATCCTCTTCTCGTGAGCACGTTCGTTTAGATCTTTTTTCAGATCGCATGCACAACAGCATCATTTCCACGGTGCGCTGCCTGTACAGCACAGCAGTACCACTCAACCGCTGGCAGTACGAGCCACTCTCACCTGTGGAGGAACCAATTGTCTAAAGCAGTACGAGACGTATTCGTGGGGCAGACACGTAGCGCGGATGGGAGGGAATTGTGGGAGTGGTCTGGGCATGCGCTGCAAACAAAGAAAGGCTGAAATATATTTGACTCCTTCAGTTTAACCGCCTTTTGGTATATGATATATGATTAGCCGAAATCTGTGTATCTGTGTTCAACGCCGAATCCAGCGCATGCCCAAACCACTCCCTCGGTTCCCGGCCGCCGGGCCTCTGCTTTTCAACCAGGCTGGCGGCACCGACCCAGGACCTGCTTAACCTGTATAGTGAACGTACGCCTCCCATCGCTGCGAAATGAAAGCGTTGCTCGTCGTTTTGGTCTATTTTGGGTCTTTATCTCTGGCGCAAACATTCTCTGCGACGTCAGGCATCAAGATAGCATCAGCAGGAGTAGTTCCACCTCCTCCAACAACTTCATCATGCAGCAGCAGTAGCAGATCGTGGGGGACCGCAGCAAGACCTGCCGTACAACGTGCCGCTGCTGCACCGCGGTCGACACCGGTGCGTCCGCGCACGGCGCTTGGCGCAGCTAATCTTGCAGTGGATGTGGGAGATGTGAGGCGTGCCTTGTCGTCCGCGCGAGAACGTCTGGAGAAGAACCGGCAGCTTTTTGACGAGGCTAGGCTTGAGGGGGAGCTGGAGTACCTCGAGGGGGTGAGCTCGGAGGCCGAGTTTTGGAACGACGCCAACTCGGCACGGAAGACACTTGGGGACTTGAACAGGTCAGCTTGCGGCTCGGAGTTCGGAGTGGGTGGTAGAGCGCGTGCACGTGTTTGGTAAGGGGGATCGTTGGGTGGGTACATATTCTGGAGCAACAGCAAGTATGGGTCCAACAGCGGTCGGTGACACAAGATATCACTCCCCCAGGACCGATTTTCAAAGCTCGATTCTCCACAAGCATAAGGAGTGGCGGTGGCGGCGTTGGAACCGTCTCGTCGAGAGCAGCTTTCCGACAAGATATCGTTTGGTTTGGATATCCTCTTCGTCGTGGGATAGTTGAGTTTGGAAAATCGGTCCAGCCAGGGAGTGTGATGTCTTCGCCTCATCGCGTAGGTATGTTTTCATGTGACATGTATTCCGCCGCATTCAGCGCGGAACGAGCTGCAGCAACAGCAGTATTTCAGTCCGGCACAACTCGCAGTGTAGATGGCTCTGGTGCCCTTCCTGTCGTGTGTTCGTGGACACAGCAGCTTGACAAGCAGTCCCATAAGTTGCATGACCTACCTCTGTCCTTATGACTCAGAGTTTGTTGTCCCCTGGGCACCAGTCTACACATACCATACCTTTCCGTGTGCTTGTTTGGCGCACCATCCGGGGTGATTCTTGGGTACACGGAGTATTCTTCACTTGTCCTCCTGCGGTGATTGCCTTTAACTTGTAAAGGGCATCGTGTTTTCCTTGATTTCGACGACATACCCTGTGTTGCCCAAGACATATCATCCATGGTTCTGCTCTGGGTACTAGAGTCCGGCAACGAGGGGGATCTACCGGCTGGAATTCGCTCACAGGGGGCGAAGATACAACAGCTGTGGCACCAAAGTTACCACTGCTGTAGCTCCTCTAGACAAAAAGCACTTGTTCACTCGGCACGTGCTCGGCTCCCTCCGCTGCTGCTGTTACATTGGTACACCCGCAGGTTGAAGTTGCAGTTGGACCGATTGTATCGGTGGCGGGGATGGGAGGCAGACGCGGAGACGGTTATCGAGCTCTGCGGGGAGGAAGAGGGGGATGACGAAGAAACCGCTGCGATGCTGGATGAGGCAACGGAGGTGCGTCAGGAAATCCTGGCTAATCAGAGTCGCAAGGTAGTAGAGAGCGGTGAGCCTAGTTGTCGAGTTTTTGCTCCGTTGGTGTACTGAGAAGGGGGGAGAGAAGGAACCTTGATGATTGTGGAGGCCAAGGAGCAACTGGCGGCGACGTAGCCGACATGAGCTCGACGATTAGCGGAGGGGAAGGTGGAGGATGATGGAAAAATGGTCCCAGTTTTGGGGCAGGACCGTGGAGGCACGTGGTAGGTGAACAGCTGCGACTGCTTGCGGTAGTCTAACAAAAAGCAGACTCCATCGAGAAATCTTTGACTCTTGTGCGGAAACCTTATTGCCTACACACAAATTGGAATGCCTAGGGTCCTGTTTGAGTTGATCGATCTGCACAAAGCGTTATGTGTGCAACAGCAGCGGGCACAACCAACCCGTTCTTATCTAGAGCCCAAGAAGCTTCAACAGGAGGAGGTCCCCCGACTCGATCCTTGCAGCCTCAGCGAAATCCCCCGCCCGTCTCCAGAGCACCTGACTAGCGTAACACCCACCCAACGAGGTTAAGTCTCTGCTTCCCGTCAACGGTGGCGTGTGCGTGAGGCTTTACGAAACGCCTTGTGCGTGTGGAAACCCCTGCCCGTCGCGAAACTTGGACAGGCGTTACAGCTCCTCCAGCGGGACTTGGACGCGTGGGAAATGCAGCAGTTGCTGTCGGGCAAGTACGATAACTGTGGCTGCAGGCTGACCATCATGGCCGGCGCGGGGGGGACGGAGGCCCAAGACTGGGCGGAGATGCTGCAGCGGATGTACATCCGGTTCTTCCAGAGGAGGGGCTTCAAGTACAAGATAGTCGAGGAAGAGGTAGGATAGGGAAGGGAGTGGCCGGGGGGGGGACATGTGGTACATTGAAGAGCAGGGGTGTGGAAAGCATGTGTTCTACTTGTAAGCAGAAGGTTGGAAAGCATGTGTCCCTAGTTTGAGCAGGGGCATGCGTGTGTTTTATGTTGAGCAGGCGATGGGGGTGGAGCAGAGGACGCTACCTCAAATAGCTCTCTGACGGTTCCATGGTTTCAGCCCTTCAGGTATTCGATACGAGGTTAGACACCGACATGAAACCAGAAGCACGCCATGCATAGAACCAAACAACTCGACAGGAATTTTACATAGAAGCCACAACAAATACGAGATTTGTAACATGGTGATGGCTGAAGATGAAACAGATCACGGTTGTATGCGGCGCGCGGCGTGACGCAAACAAGTCTGCTTTCGTATCCCTGTCTCCGTGGCGCAGTCGGGGGAAGTAGCGGGCATCAAGAGCTGCGAGATGCAGGTGGAGGGAGACTTCGCGTACGGTTACCTGGCCGGCGAGAAGGGGACCCACAGACTCGTCCGGCAGTCCCCTTTCAACGCGCAGGCGAAGCGACAGACCAGCTTCGCGGGAGTGGAGTCTTTTCCGATCATCGAGCAAGACGACTTATCGTGAGTCGTCCTCCGACCCAATTGTACGAAGTTTAAGAGTTTGGGTGCTTTGTTTTGCGAGGACCCTGTGTTTGTCGTCGGTTTGGCTGTTTTTTTTCTCTGCGCCGAACAAGCGCTTGTTACCTCTCCGAGAATGGTCTGGTACTATCGGTCAAACCGCCTCCTGCTACTTTGGCATTTGTGTGTTAGGATATGGCCTGGCTGAGCACCAGCACTGCTGTATGTCATCCTCAGCAGAACTCAATGCGTCTCCAAATTCCACTTTTTTCGAGTATTTGCTTATTTTCTTTCCACACTCGATACCCACCCACGGCCCACTCACCCCGCAACAAAACGAAACCTGTCCTTTTACCTTGGTCCCTCGATATCATTTTTGCGCCCCCTACGCCCCACCCTCCTTTTCCGTTCACGTGTCAGTGTGCTCCCCCCCCCCCC